AGAGAGAGAGAGAGAGAGAGAGAGAGAGAGAGAGAGAGAGAGAGGAGGAGGAGGAGGAGGAGGAGGAGGAAGAAGAACTCATTCGGAAGGAACTGAAGCGAGAGGACGGATAGTTGTTAATTTGACGCTGTACGAGTCTTAATATTGCGTTATTGAAATTCTCTCATTATTTCAGGCCAAAACGCTGGATTAGCCTAGTGAACGAACCCGGTAAAACGCTAAATTATTGCTCTATTATTCATGACTTCGCAGTACAACTTTCAGATTGCTGCATGTATCCGATCTTTTCACTTCTCTGTGTTGCAGTAAATGCTTTGTTTAAAGTCAGTGAATCTTGAACTAGTTAATCAAACAGTGATTAAGATATACTTGGTACATTAACTTAAATAGAAATAACATTAACGTCTCAAAAAACGAAATCATTTTAATACTAAAATGCATGTTTTTTTCCCTCCACAGAGCTCTCAGAATGGAATATATATTTATACTGATCCTTTTTGGATTGTGCATCAACACTGAAGTTGTGAAAAGCACCTCGGTGTGTTCAGTTAATGACTATGCTGCCTTCTGCATAGATAGAGGTCTTCATCATGTGCCAGAGGTGCCCACACATGTAAATCATATGGATCTGAGTTTAAACAGCATTGCTGAACTCAACGAAACATCCTTTTCTCATCTCGAATGTCTAAAAGGCCTTAAAGTGGAGCAACAAACACCAGGACTTGTGATCAGAAACAACACATTTAGAAGACTCTCCAATCTAATATTACTTAAACTAGACTACAACTGCTTCCTGCAAACAGAAACAGGGGCTTTTAATGGATTATCCAACCTTGAGAATCTCACTCTCACTTAGTGCAGTTTAGATGGTTCTGTTTTGTCTGGTGACGTCTTTAAACCTCTGGTGTCTCTACAGATGCTTGTCTTACGCAATAACAACATTCACAGAATCCAGCCGGCATCATTCTTTTTAAATATGAGGAGATTCCACGTTCTGGATCTGTCTCACAACAAAGTGAAGAGCATCTGTGAAGAAGACCTCCTCAGCTTTCAGGGTAAACATTTCACGCTCCTGACCCTTGCCTCCGTGACACTGCAAGACATGAATGAGTACTGGTTAGGATGGGACAAGTGTGGAAACCCGTTTAAGAACATGTCCGTAATGGTATTGGACCTATCTGGAAATGGCTTTAAAGTTCCTATGACAAAGCGTTTTTTTGATGCAATCATTATTTAAGGTCTCATTCTCAGTAAGAGTTACAACATTGGCAGTTCTTTTGGTCATAACAATTTCCCAGATCCAGACAAATTCACATTCAAGGGTCTTGAGGTTAGTGGTGTTAAGATTTTCGATTTGTCCCAATCACATATTTTTGCTTTGTCCAATTCAGTATTTAGTCTTTTTTTTTTTTTTTTTAGATCTAGAGCAAATTACGTTGGCACAAAATGAGATCAACATTATTGAAAACGATGCATTTTTGGGTATGACTAATCTACAAAAGCTAAACCTGTCCAACAACTTCCTGGGTAGTATTGATTCCAGTGGGGGCTCGTCGGGGGAGGCAGGGGAGGCACAGCTTCCCCATAATTTTGAGGTGAAAATGGGAGGAGGACGATTTAATGTTAATAAATAATTTCAGTAATTTCAGTTCATGTCTCAGAATGTGTATTTTTTGTTTGTAATTTCACAGTTGTAATACCAAGCGCCGCTAGCGCCACTTTTCTATCGCGAATGTGCCGAATCTGCTGATGTAATTACAACAGCTAGGTGATAGAGAAGAGGAGGGGGAGGCCAGG